ATTAAAAATAAAAAAATAAATAATTTAAAATTTTTGTAAATATAATATATAAAATTTATATTTAAATAAATCCTTACTCTAACTATAAATTTACCACATAAGGTAAAATATATTCTTCCATTGCCTAATAAACGATGTGCAAGTTAAAAGGAGTGAGGGAAAAGCGTTGAAGGCGAAAGGAAAAAAACAAAAAAAAATCATATGTCCTCTGTTCCAACAAAAATGACTTAAAATTTTTCTTAAGTTCAAGTAATACGGGAATTAGAATACAATAGAGCTTCTTAAACTATAATCGCGATAAAAAATTTAGTTAAATCAAAATGCTGTGTTTTATGAATCCAACTTTATCTATTAAAAAATAAAATAAATTGAAAGATATGAAAAAATTATCTTTTATTTTACAAATCAAGATTAAAAAAATAAACTCTATTTTTTTCCGCACCCCACGTCCATGGGCGCCATTATGGCCGCCACTAACATTTTGTTCTTTTGTATAATGTAAATTCTTATTACTAATAACAAATATACAAAGCTGCACCAATAATAAGGGCTGCTACCAAATAAGTTTTGTACAAAAAAATGAATAAACTATTAATAGATAGAACTCAATCTTAAATTACAGTTTTGATTCCCCATTGCAATACAATGAATCAAGATAATGAGGATGCTTTTGGCCTCGCAAAACTCAAAATTTTGTCTCGAATATCAATAATAACCAATTAAACAATTTGATATTCAAGAAGAAACAACGATTATTGTATATGCTTATTGTGTTCAAACCAAATGCATGTGGTAAATTTCAGTATTCCAAGCCAGCTTAATAAGGGAATTATAAAGTGCCTTCCTCTTGGTTTTCTTTACATTTATTGCACCAATGGCACCAAAGATGTTTTTTTTTTTCTTTTTTTTTTTGTGGTTTCCCGCTTGGTATCTGAGGTTTCGCCTCGACTAATCCGAACCCGACTCGCGTTGCGCACCTGAGAATGGTGGGTGAGTCTCCTAGCGAGGGTTGCTGCGTACACAAGGACTCGAACTCGAGATCTTGCTTAAACTGGAATAAGTCACTTACCACTTGATCCAACCTATCGTTGATAATGGCACCAAAGATGTTACGAACAGAATGCTAGCGCTGTCAGATATCTCTCTTCAAATACCAATAGAGAAAGAACATATAAAGAGAAGATGGTTCCGTGTCTCACTTGCCTTCCATAGCATACAAACATCATTGATGTGAGCAGACTACTTCTTTTGCTTGGAGTGTGTGGACAGTCTATTCGGTAAAGCCAGCCAAGTCACAAAACTATGTCTTGATACAGAGAATTTGCAAACCACACAAGTCTACACCAATCTACATTTTGATGTTTGCTTTGAAAACATTCCTATGCAAACTTTGTCGTAAAGGAGGCAAAGGAGGAGAGTAACCAAATAACAATATTTACCTCTCCTATAATTGGGTACAGTGCCTCACATAATGCTATTTGAACCTGCGAGAGGGAAGGAGAGACCTTGCTAGTGGCCATTTCCAATAGTTTCCACGCATTACAGTGGCTCTAACAAACATCATTCTTTTTCCCTCTTCTCCTTTTTGATCACCAGTTTGGTGGCCCTTTTCTCAGGCATTTTGACTTTCCTCCCTCATTCAGGCTTCCTTCCCTCACTTGCTGTCCCTTCCCATGCTATTTTTAGCTTCTGAAGCATTTTAAATCTCAAGATATTTTGGCTTTGTCTATTATGCTGATGCTCAGTTTCTCCTGCATCTTTAGTGCTGCCAACTTGTCAAGAGAACAGAACTTTTCATGATTACTAATCACAAAGCCCTTGAGGGCTTGAAGTTCTGAAAGAGAAGGCAGCTCTTTGAGCATCTGATCTAACAAATGGCACTCGGATATATCCAAATGAGTCAGCTTCTTCAGTGAACCTATGTTGTCTGAAAGTTCCTCCAAATTATATAGCTCCTTAATTCAATTAGCTGTCTGGCAAGGACAATTAGGCAGAGTTTTAATTCCTGAGATTCCCTTGGAGACTAATAAGCCTCCAGTGCCTCCAGTTCTTTATATTACAAACCCTTTGAAGTAATCAGTGGTTTCCACCTCAATGTGCCCCTTAGCTGTGCTTTCTAATCTTCCGGATAAAGAATTTCGATCCCTTTTCCATTTTTTCATCTTAGAGAACCACCCTCTTTGAAATCAGGAAATTACTCACTGACATTGAACAATATATCCAATTTTTCCAGCTTCTCCTGGTTCTCATTAAATGTTTTGATATTAATCTAGATTCTAGAGGATCTTTCTTCAGCTTTTACCAAACACGCCCTGTGACACTCCTCTCCTTAATTAAACCTACAGAAACCTTACCCCATTGCCTATTGACTTTTCTCGAAATCCTGAACAATAGAAAGAAGGCCGGTAACCCAATCTGGACAAGAACCACACTTTGGCAGCATATGGGCAAGTAAACAACATGTGCATTATAGTTTCTTCATGTGGTTTACACAAATAACAAATGCAATTATCCACGATAGCCTATCCAAATAGTTTTGTCATAATAGTTTGTGCTTCAGACTCTATCCTCAACAGGAAGAATTAATTTTTGGAGGAATATTAAGGCTGTGTTTAACATGGCTTTGGTTTATATAAAGCAGAGGAGGGTTGTTTCTCTAATTGAAAGAGAGCGACAGGCACCTATGTCAACCACTCATATGAGACGTTGAAATACTTGTGGCTTGATCATAACATGAGCCAAAAAATACTTTACAAGAGATACATATAGCTAAAGGCTGAAAGTTTTGCAGATTGTCAATCTGTCTTGTAGATTGTCAATAATATTCATTTTGATATTCAGAACAAGGTTTTGGGTCTTGTAAAGCCAAGGTCTTCTTCATTACCCACATTTGTAGCAGAACAATGGGGATTAGAAGAAATTTTAAAAGTGCAAGTTTAGTTCTTATCGATGAGAATTTTTCTCTAATTACATTTGTAATTGATTATAGCAGCTGCTGCTACTTGAGTGTATATATGAGTTTATTAGTAAAACAAAATTTTTACATTTTACCCAAAAAAATATATAGCTAAAGGTTTTAAGACAATATTTATTTTATTGAAGAAGAGATCACAGTCATCTCAAATGTCAACTAGTCAAATGAGGAAGCAAATTCAGAAACCAAATGAATGTTTAATTGGCTGAGGCAAATCATAGAACACCTTCTAGGCGTTAATGGACAGGAATGACTCAAACAATTCTTAGGGACTCAAACAATTCTTAGGGACTCAAACAATTCTTAGGGACTCAAACAAAGCATCAAACACCTAATACGCATTTCTAGGCATATGGCACAATCAGATCATCAAACACCATCTGGTTCATAGGCTTTTTCAAGGAGGGTATTTTTTACTTTAGGAGTAAACAACTCTCAAAATTATGAGAACCAAGAACATTACTAGAAGAACTTGCATATTCAAAAATATTGAACAAGTATACCACAGAGACAAAGGAAATCAAACAACCATCAATCACACAACTCATTAGAGGTTCAAAATTACGATCAACTCAAATGCAAACATGAATAAAGGAAAGAAATCCACAGAAACATAGTTCGGATAACAACCAACAAGGTTACTTTTCAACTCCACTTTTCAGGAGTTCACTCAAATGGCACCATCCATTCCCGTCACAAGGGCAGAACATGACTTTAGGGCATCTGACTCTCTCCAAATGCACCAACTTTGGAAAATTTTCCCGCAGTTCTTTCCAGTCAGTTTTTAAATCACTCAAATACTTCAAACATAAAGTCTCTACCTTTGTCCACTTATTCCCTGTGTTTGGAAGGTTATGCAGTCTGCCGCCTTTAATATAGAGTTTCTCTAGGCAATCAAGAAACTCAGACTCAGGCGCTAACCAAGAGGGTGGTGTTGTATCTGGGTAACATTGGAGTTCCAGTTTCACAATTTTCGCTACATTCCTAGGTTTCTGCTTAGATGGCATGGTTGTGCGCTTAATATTCATGGTACCCAGATTGGTGACTGTAGATTGAGCTGCATCACTTTCTTTCTTCCTGTTGTCTCTTTTCTTCTGTTTCTTGGCCATTTCACCACTTTTCTGCCTTTTCTCATTATCCGTTGCTTTCTCTGTGCTACTCAATTCCTTAGATTCTTCTTCTCGTGCTCCAGCTGTCAATGTTGCCCCTCCCCATGCTATTTTAAGCTTCTTAAGCTTTTCAAAATTAGGGATGGCAATGCCCAGTTTTTCGGGAAAATAGCCTTTGTCTATTATGTTGATGCTCAGTTTCTCCAGCTTCTTTAGTGCTGCCAACTCCTCAAGAGAACAGGTCTTTTCATGATCACTAATCACAAACCCCTTGAAGATTTTGAGTTCTGAAAGAGAGGACAGTTCTTTGGGCATTTGATCTAACAAATAGCACTCAGATATATCCAAAAGAGTCAGCTTCTTCAATGATCCTATGTTGTCTGGA